GAGTCTTCTGGAGTTTCAGACAAAGTAAATCAGACTGAATTGTGTTAAAATCACTGGAGAAATCAAAGAACATGATCCTCACAGTGCTGCCTGCTTTGTCCAGATGACAGTGGGACAATACCTCTGTAAATACCTCTCTATTTACAGAATAAAATAAACTACTTATGTACAAACTAATGTGAAAAACCAGAACTTTATGAGTTAAAACATCCACAATATCTCGTACACGTCTGTACTTGTTATGTAAACATGACAACTCAGAAAGAACAATGAACAGTAAACTCTAGGCTTAGGTCTTATTAAACCAGGTGTTTACAGGCACATTAAACTTATGGCAAGGTTTAAGATTAAGAACAGTAAAGAAAAGGAGGATTAGTTTTAAGATTTAAGAATGATGACTTTTTTTATCAAAGTATAGAAACCGGAACAGCACCATGTTTGCCCACCACATCAGCCGGATCTCCGGACACTTTACAAAACTTTCGCTTTACCCGTTGGTGTTTTCGACCATCAGGTCAGCTTGGGGGAAGAGTTCACTCAGTTTGTTAAGGATTGCCAACTCAGGAACCTCACAACCAGTAAAAAACTCCCATGTTTTGTTTACTGCGTCCCAAAAGACCTGTGATGAGGAAGCTTGGTTTGGAGACACGGCCCAGAGGAGGAGCTGATCCCAAAAGGCGGTTCTAGGCACAACCGGTCACCTTTGCTCCCCTGCATGTCTGCATCAGGACACTACAGGATTTCTCAAACATGCATGAATGAGTCAAAGCAAGACTGGACATGTATTTGATGGGAGGATAACATGATGTAAAGCTCAAAAATGTTGATTTTACATGATATTGTCTCTTTAATACTTGGTGGCAAAACCCTTGTTGGAGCACAGCAGTCAGATGTTTTGTGTAGTTGATGATGAGATTTGCAGACATGTCAGGAGGAATTTTGATCCACTCCTCTCTGCAGATCATCTCAGTCATTAAGATTTTGAGGCTGTCACTTGTCATCTCAGAGTTTCAGCTCTGTCCATAGGTTTTAGATGGGATTAATGTCTGGAGACTGGCTAGACCACTCCATGGCCTTAATGTGCTTCTTTCTGAGCCACTCCTTTGTTGTCTTGGCTGTGTGTTTTGGGTCAGTGTTCTCGAGATTGAGTTGGCAGACTCACTTGGTGTATTTCAACTCAAAGWAATGTGAAGTCTATCATCACTGCTACTGGAGCACTAGATTTAGCTCTGCCTGCATGACCATGAAACTTCAGTTGTACTGGATTCATTATGTGGGATTTATGGACCTTCATGACTTAGGAGAAATCTTTCTCATTCTTATTTCTCTACACTGCTTTGTTTTAGCCTGTTTTGTTCATAGCTGTTTCTGGTTCAGTTTTGGTTATTGACCCTTTGCACGTGACGTCACGCGCCTCAGAAGACCRCCCCYTTTTTCCATGTTGGATGGCRGAAACAGACATGCGTCCATAAGCTACTATTGAGCTAGAGGAGAATCAGGCAGTTGGTAGCCTAATATCGTTCTTTCCCCCCTGTTGATCTAGCTGTAAAAATGGTCTTCAGCTGCTGCGCAGTCGGCCGGTGGACCGGAGTTTCTCTCCGGTTTCGGACCGAGCAGTAATGGACTGAAGACGCTGCGCTGCTGGTTCTAAAATATTATAATCTCTCCGTCTGCCCACGCGCAGCACTCGTGTCATAGTGAAGATATAAACAACAGTGATAGCTGGAAATATAGTTGTTTTTACTCAATGTTGAATCGGTGTTGTAGTGAAAGGTCGGAGGAGGAGAACCTTTTATTATTTTTTTCCCACAGTGATGGAGTAAACACAAGTTGCGCATTCAGGTCATAAAATCAGACCAGCTGATCATCAAAGCTGTTCATCTTTTTAATTTAACTGGGAATGGATCATTTCAGCTAAATATCGAACAGAAAGAAGCGCAGCTCGGAGCGCTGTTGTACCCGGAGCTGTAACATGAAGAGACGCTACTAGCTTGTTAGCTTGCTAGCCTGCTAGCTGTCGTCGGCTCTAAAAACCATCCGTCCGTACAGATATGAACCAGTCACACAGAGTGGAGAAAGYACTGCTCAGAAAGATCTGATGAAGAAAATAAGTAAGAAAGCGTCTCTGACTGATTCATAAGGTCTGACGCTAACGTTAGTATATTCAGTCGCTTCTCAGGAAGCAGACGCTTAACGTAACACGAGCGTCAGACAGAGATCGCTTTGAAAAACATCTAGAATCATGTATGGAATCGGAAAATAAAAGTACGTTAGCATTAACAAGCAAGTCTTACCTTGGCCATTATGAGAACCTAACAAACACGTCCGGAGGGAGAAGATATGGGTCGTTTTCTAAGCTAGCTATGTCCAACTTCTGTAAATAACGCTGTTTGTGAGCCCCAACTAGGTGTGCGACTTCCACAGAAAAATTATCTAAACTTGAACAAGTAGAAATCATGGCAAAAATTAAAAAAACTTCAAAAAACAATCGCTGCCATTCAGTTCAATACACCGCTCTGTGCCTTCTGCCGTCCGACATGCCAGCATCACATGACATTGTCACGTGGGTGCAAAGGGTCAAAACTGCAATACGACATGAGACAGCAGGTCTCAGACATTGTGTCATTTCAGACATCTTTTTCCTCATAAACTGGCTAAAGAAGCAGCGGGCCATAAATTATAAACATTACTCCCACAGCACTCCCACAGCTCATAGATAAGTATAAAAACAAGATGGCTGGATTTTTTTCCCACTCAACCATCAGTGTTGTGCTGGGTGATGAGTTTGTAGAGGAAAAAAAGTTTTTTCCTCGTTGACAATGGTGATAGAAGAATGACGCATGTTCCCGCATTCAACAGGATCAAACCAGCTGCTCATCAAAGCAGTTCATCTTGCTAATTCAACAACCAGCTATAGAGAAAAGGTCATTTTTAACAAAATGACATGCAGAAGGAAGAGCTGCTCGGATCTYGCTCTGGTCCTGCTCTTCAGCGCTGCATTTCTCCTCATGAACAAAAATACCCACTAAGTTCTGACCAGTCACATGTTCTGAGCTGCAAGATCTGCGTCGCAGAGCTCTGGCTGGCAGCAGTAAACATAACTGTTATTCTGCATTCCATTTACATCGTATTCCAGGAACTGGAAAATGGTAGGGACGTCATTTCCCAACAAACCATTTGAAACTGCATTCCAGTTAGCCGACAGGCGATTGTATTGTTGCCGCTAACCTATAGCTACAACACTGCTATAATACAATGAAAAAAGAGAGTGTAGTGTCTAAGAGTGGGGGGGTTGTCTCAGGAATGCACAGATGTGAGGCCCCTTGAGCCTCCAGCTTCAGAGCTCGGCACATATCACCATATTAGGAAAGAAGAACGCTTGAGGTATACCTTGACAAGATTTATGTACATCTGTGGAAAATGTATAAAGAGCCATGTACGCCCCGCTCTTGGCCTTCGTTTCTCCATCTTTCTTACTTGGTGAATCATTTGGCTTGGAGGCCACTATTTGGTTTTTTTTAGGCTGTATCTCTTGAACTGCAAAAATAAAGGTTCTTGCTGTTCAAACCAGCCTTGTTTTCAGAGTCATTCTTCATCGAGCAAACAACAGTTCAACTTCAACCAGAAGACGTGGTTTTCTACACCTCAAGAGCTCAACTACGTGCGTTATGCAAATAAACATTGATTTTAACACGTTGAAAACACACTACTTGTACGAGTGATTAAACACGCACAAAAATATTAAGAAAGATAATTAACAGTAAAAGTTGCTGAGTTAACTTTCTAAGGCTGCGTGTAGCCGCCATCTTGAAATGAAACTGGGGGCAGTTTCATTTCTTCCACTATACGAGTGGAATATTACCACTGGAGGGGGCGTTCCAGTTTAAATCTGCCAATGGGAACAGGGAAATTACCACTTCACAGGACTACTGGAACGCAGCATTATCACCCAGAGATAACAGTGGGAGAGCAGACAGAAGTTAGGCAATTTTTTGTCACTCTGCAGGGGGCCAAGACATGCAACTTGATTTATAAACCAAGCTTTCTTCTACGGAAGGACAGCGATTCTTGGGACATTTACTCTAGAATGCTTTTACATCCTACTCTTCTGTTCTTTACAAACTGCATGAACTTAAAGATTTTAGTTATCGTCATGCTACTTCAGGATCATTTTACTGTTCCTTCTTTTCACAGCCACTGTTTTCTGTTACTGACCAGTGGCTGACACGAGATAACACTGGCATTCTCTTCATCAGTTTGACCTCTAGCAGCTAGAAACCACAGCTCACTCTGATGCAGCTAGTATTTTACTGGGCTCTAACCAATTTCACATCCAGATACTCCCTTCTGTTTGTTTTAGCAAGAAAAGAAACATTTAATCCAAAACTTAGCAATCCAAGACAGCAGTTTATCTTCACAAACACCCGTTATTATATGAGAAGTACTTCTAAGTTGAAACTGGCAAAGCATTTCTACAAAACAAAACACCCGAGTMACAGCAATTGCTTGAAATTCATCAGGAGTCCAATGTCTCACAGAGGCCRTGAAAATTTCAAAGTTAGCAGTTTAAATAAAGAATACAGAATCCCAGTCCATGTGATTACCATCATCTTGACTTGTCAACTTAGTATACAACTTAGAAGTACTTTCTGCTTAAAGAACACAACAGAAAACAGTCCTTACCAGTTAACCCCACACATTTGTTACATAATGCCCCCAGCGTCCCTGCAGAGGCACATATATGATCTTCACTGCAGTATATTCCTCAAACACTAGAAGGTTCAGCAGGATGCAAAAACAAACCGGTTGAATAATAGGAGGCCATGAACCAGCCGGGTGGGGAGAGGACAAGAGGGGGTGGTGCCTTCAAAAGGAAAAAGATCCACTCAGCACTTCTGACAGCAACAGACTTTGTCGAGGACAAAGAGCCAATCGTGAATCAGACAACCTGTTGCCATGATGCCTGGTCCTTACCAGTAAAAAAGGGTTTATAAAGATGCTTTGTATTGAACTGTCAAGTCTCTGCCTAAAACTGAATGATCTAAATTAAATGACAGAGTTTAAATATTACCTCATTAGATGGTAAATGGACTGTACTCATATAGTGCCTTTCTATCCATCCAGGACACTCAAAGCTCTTCACACTACAACCTGTGTCCTCATTTACCCATTCACACAGCACTCTATTAGGTCCCTACAAAACTAACATGTACAATCATCTATGGAGACTAATCAGTGCCAATCACATTCATACACTGATTGGACACACATCAGAGGCATTAAAGGGGCAATATCATCTAAAATCAACTTTTTTGAGTTTTATATCATGTTATAATGTTATACTCTCATAAAAACATGACCAAAGCCTTTCTCTGACTCATTCATGCATGTTTGAGAAATCCTGCAGTGTTTTTATGAAGTCATGCTGAGGAGCAAAACGACAGGTGGGGACAAGAAATGCCTTTTGGTACCAGAAACGCCCCTGGGACGTGTCTTTAAGCTGGGCTTCCTCATGGCAGAGCCCCCCCCCACACACACACACCTTGCCCATGACTCCTGCAGGCTCTCGGGTCAAAGTGAAAGTGAAACCTAACTGTCTGCTGAGCTCTCAACATTAGTTCTCACTCAGTGAAGCTCTTTTCAGATTAAAAATACCTTTGAGGAAATGTATTTTCAGATGCCAAGTGAACTGCATCATGGCAGTCCCCACCGCACTGAAATGGGCAAAACAAAAGTGGAATGTGGTTCTTAAAGAGACAGAGGCCAATTTCAAGGCCTTTAGGAAAGGAAGTGATGAGAAGATAAGTTTATTTTCTATTCAAACATAAAAACGGCATTTTAATAACAACTAAAGGTGACATAGATACTTTATTATGGTATAGTATTTAAATATATGCCTGAGAAACACATAATATTGGGCCTTTAAGGGTGGTGTCTTGCCCAAGGACACAACAACTGAGACAGCTGGACGGGGKATAGAACCGGCGACCTTCCGGTTCCAGGACAACTCCCCTAAACACTCTGCCACAACCGCTAGTTTTACAAAACCTATGGCAGTTTCTAAACTAATGTCATCTAATGATCAAAGGAGGCGGAGATATACTATACATATTTTGAACACATTATGTGCAATCTTGTGATATTACATAAACTTAAATGATGTGTTGGTGTAYGTTGTGAACAACTCTCAGCTATCAAAAACTCAGAAACACTCAACAGTTGAGCATTTGGAAAGGAAACACACGGCCGGAGAGGCAGTGAGCTGCAAGTACACCCAACGCTGCTTACAGATTCAATTAGGCCCGAGCAGYGAGAGTGCTGAGAAGGCCTATTGTTATTCAAATGTTTCTTCTTATTATTTCGTATTATGATTATTATACGATTCTTCTTCTTCTTCTTCTTAGGCCYGARCAGCRAGAGTGCTGTGAAGGCCTATTGTAATTGTAGTGTTTCTTATTAAAAGGCTCGAGCAGTGAAAGTGCTGCAAAGGCCTATTGTTACTCAAACGTTTCTTTTTCTCATTATTATTATTAGGCCCGAGCAGCGAGAGTGCTGCGAAGGTCTATTGTAATTGTAGTGTTTCTTATTATGATTGTAGTGATTCGTACAAGACCCTTTCAAGCCACCACTTGTGGTGATTAGTACACCTACACTTCTTCTTCTGACAAACTTTATTATAAGGAAATCCACGGGTTCTTCTGTTTAAGAAAACTAACAACTTCTCTGTGTAAATATGACACCACACAAATAAGTCAGACAATAAGTCAGTGAATTCAATTTCATCCATAAACGAGATCATTTATTTATAGAATCAAAATAAATCATTAATATACAACTTATTGTTAACAATCAAATTTTGTTGAGAGTTAAAACATCAACAACAGTATGAGTCCACACTAATTAACCGTCAATATGACAGCTCTGACAGAAACAGCAGAACTTCAGGTTTAAGGTCTTAATAAACCAGATTACTTACCTGCTTACTGAACCCAAACATCAAAACCATGTCTGGCTGGAAAGATGTAGTTGCAATGATGTCCGGGACTATCAACTGCCTCCCCAGATTGACAGGTAGCTGTCAATCCCTTGCTGTTAAGAGAAGGCCCCCCTGGGTCTTCCTACGAGGCTGGGGCTTCTCACCTGCCTTAACATAGGTAATGGTAGCCTTGGAGGGTTGTTGCTGCTGTTTATGCCAGTGCAGATGGTATCCGCTACTGCCCGCAGGACCTGGTCATGGCACCAGTGGTAACGACCATCTCCCAAGGCCTTTGAGCAACAGCTGAGGACGTGTTCTACAGATCCCCTTTACTGGCAGAGTTGGCAAGCAGTTGAGTCCACTAAACCTWAGGTAAACAGGTTGGTAGGGCTCGAAAAAATGTCATACAATGACTGGATTAGGAACTATAAGTGGTGTGGCTACACCTTCTATATATCTGCCCAGCTGATCAATTTGTCCAGGCCCCCTGTGTGGACATGCCCACCATCCTGCTGAAGCGAACTTCCTCCACCTCGGCAGGTACCTCCTCCTGAATCAGCCTTCGCTTCTCCTTTCCCCTAGCTCTGCTGTAGCTACATCTTGGATTGCTACCCAGCCCGGCCCGACCTAGCCTGGTAAAAACCAGACCCTGTCTTTACTTTGCTTCGTACGAGGGCCTGGACTTGCTGCATAGAGAAGCGATTCTTGCATGAGGCGTGGCCTCTGCTGAAGCGTGTATGTGTTGTCGCTGGGAAGGAGGCTAAGCTAAGAAGCTAACTGGAAATCGCGTGTGCTGTAAACAACCGTATCGAGAGGAGAAAAGTTCCGAGCCTAACGAGACGACAGTAAATGAGAGCTGCTGCTTTGTCAGAAAATTTTTATTTAATTTGGAAGCCTTATCAAAACAGACTGGCTTCATTCACTTCCTCCACTGCCGTATGCTAAAATAACTAGCAGACACTGCACAGAAAGTCAACGTTGTTCAAAAACCCGCCTTCTGTTTGCTGAGTGGCCCAGGTGAAATAAACTACAAGCAGACACTGCGCAGAAAATCGACGTTCTGGTCTCTGATTGGCCCAGCTAAAAATCTGCCAGCGAAATCCATCTCWATGGGAGAAGTTCCAAGTGGAGCAGTCAAGGGAAACTAAAATTGAGCGGAACTACGTAGGAAGGCAAGGGCCAGGCTAGGCCTGACCAGCAGCCACCGTGCATACTAGGCTGTTGTGTCGCAACCTTGCAACCGCTCGTTCTAGTGCTTCCTGAGCACGCCACTTCTGCCCTACTCTAACTTCTACTCCTGCACAGGAGACCTTGATGTCAGTAGAATCTCTGCAGAGTAGGACTTCTCTGGCCCGGGTGACCTTGAACTCCTCTGCTACGCTGGTGAATGGGAGCTGCAGCTTGGTGTTATGCCTGAAGAGTGCAATGTTGCTCAAACTCTGTGACAGTCCCAGCCAGCTGTGCAGGAACTTAATAATCTTCCTCTCAAAGCCCTCCATGTGGGTAATAGGGACTTCATAGACTAGCAGTGGCCAGAGGAGATGAGGTGTTGAGGTCATTGCTGATGCCTTGGCGTGCGGCAGCATCCTTCAGGTTACTTGTGAAGAACTTGCGTTACTTGTGAAGAACTTGCAGAGGCTTTTAACCAACTTTTCTGAGACTAATGGAATCTTAGATTCTTCCAGTGTAAAGCCAAACTGGTAAGCCACTTTTCCTTTCCTCAAGACTAAAGGTAGTCAAATCTCGGATTCAGGAAGAGCAGGTGTGGTTTTTGTAGTTGTGGAACACTAGACCAGTTCTATGCCCTCAACAGTGTCCTGGAGGGTGTATGGGACTTTGCCCAACCAGTCTACATGTGTTTTGTGGACTTAGAGAAAGTGTTAGTACGTTTCCCTCAGGGAGTCCTGTGGGGGGTACTCTGGGAGTATGGGGTACCAAGCCTTTTTGTACGGGCTGTTAGGTCCCTGTACAACCAGTGCCAGGGCATGGTCCACATTGCCGGAGTAGCCTAGTCAGACTCTTTTTCAGTGAGAGTTGGACTCCGCCAAGTTTGCCGTTGGTCACCAATTCTGTTCATAACTTTTATGGACAGAATTTCTAGGCGTTACAAAAGGTGTTGAGGGGATCCGTTTTGGTGAAAGGGATCGCATTTCTGCTTTTTGCGGATGATGTGGTCCTATTKGCTTCATCAGATTGTGATCTGCAACTCTCACTGGAGTGGTTCGCAGTCGAGTGAATGAAGATCAGTGCCTTTAAATCTGATAATTTTAATTTCCACAATGATGACATTTGAAAAATGTATACTAAAATCAGTATTAATGCAATGTTGGCAAATTCACCTATGTTGAGAAATATGACATGGAACTGACCTAGCATGTTCAACGTTGATTAGATTTGTAAATTCAAAACAAAATTCAATGATTATCCAACACAACCACCTGATGTTGATTCAACAGTGACTAGATGCCAAAATGCCAGCTGGGCCCAGATAGCAAAATATGAGTGAATCAACATTTAAATATGGTTAGGCATGATACTGAATCCATGTGGAAACTGGTTTTTGGTAGTCTTTTGAGGTTTTAAGGGGTTAGGACCCTTTTACCTGGTTTTTGGAAGTTTTGAGGGGTTTTCAGCTTTATTATGCCCCCTTTACCAGTTTTTTTGAGGTTTTCAGTTTTCCTAGACTGCATTTTCTGGTTTTTGGCAGTTTTGAGGGGTTTTCGGCCTTCCTAGACCCATTTTGTCTGGTTAAAGCCCGTTTTCAGTACTTTTTGCCCAATTTGAGTGGTTTCTAGCCCCCCACAAATGTTATTAATATGCACTGTCCCTGTGATGATAAAAAAATGTATAATGAATATGGGACTGTAGCCAACCAACGTGGACGCATGAAAAAAAAAATGCAACCCCAGGTTAAACAGCAAGGATGGTAAAAAAAATAATTCTGTTGAACAGAAATGTAAAAGAAGCAAAACCATCTTCAAAATGTGATATATTTTAGCAACAGAACACTTTTAATGTTGTTTGGGTTACAGTTTRCAGACATCATTTACAGACATGGAAATTTTAAAAGCAGCTGCTCGGAACAATGATCTGATGTTTGAAGTAATCAGAAGCGTCTTCCCTTAGAGGTGAACCAGTTTCTTTGCCTTTGCCTTCTTCACACCTTTCTTTTTAGGTTTTTTTTTTGGATCCACCATCTCTCCTTTAAATGAGGCATGACTTTTGCCTGACGTCTGCTGCTTTCCCCTGAACCTTCTTGGGGACTTCAACCCTCCTGGACCAGGTCCTTTCTCCTGTCCAGGACTGTTCCTGAAGGGTTTGTTTGGTTTTCTTGAGGTTCCTCTGTTGTCAGTTTTATTCTTCTGTTTCTCCTTCTTTACTGACCTCTTCACACGAATGGATCGACCTTGGAGCTTTGAGCCATCCAGCTCCAGTGCCAGCTGCACTGAGTCTGCGCTCTACACCAAACACAAATATCAATTAGTCTACAAGACCACGTCCAACCAGCTTCATGTTCCTCAGCTACAAAAACTATAAAAAGCTRATCTTCCACATTGAGGCCCATCACTTTCTGACTGGCCTGACAGAAACTGACTGAAATGCATGTTGACAAGCCCCACAGTTTGAGGGACGGATGAAACAAGACTGGAAACTTTGGTCACAAAGGGGTTTTTGATTATTATGTACAGTCATATGAAAAAGTTTGGGCACCCTTGTTAATTTTCCTGATTTACCTTTATAAATCATTGACAGTTTGGATTAAAAATATCAGTTAAATACATCATATAGGGGACAAACACAGTGATATTAGAGAAGTGGAATGAAGTTTACATGATTTACAGAAAGTGTGCAATAACTGGTTAAACAAAATTAGGCAGGTGCATTAATGTGGGCACTGTTGTCCTTTTATTGATTTCAAAACCTTTAGAACTAATTATTGGAACTCAAATTTGGTTTGATAAGTTCAGCGACCCTTGACCTCCATAAACAGGTGACTCCAGTTATGAGAAAGGGTATTTAAGGGGGCAATTGTAGGTTTTCCTCCTCTTTGCATCTTCTCTGAAGAGTGGCAGCATGGGAGTCTGAAAACAAGTTTCAAATGAKCTGAAAACAAAGATTGTTCAGCGTCATGGTTTAGGGGAAGGATACAGAAAGCTATCTCAGAGATTTCTTTCAGTCTCCACTGTGAGAAACATTGTGAGAAAATGTTAGACCACAGGCACAGTTCAAGTGTAGGCTCCAAGTGGCAGACCAAGACAAATCTGGAATAAACAGAAGTGAAGGATGTTGAGAAGAGTCAGAGTCAACCCACAGACCAACACCAAAGACCTACAACATCATCTTGCTGCTGATGGAGTCACTGTGCATCGTTCAACTATTCAGCWCACTTTACACAAGGAGATGCAGTATGGGAGGGTGATGCAGAGGAAGCCTTTTCTCCACCCACATCACAAACAGAGCTGCTTGAGGTATGCTAAAGCACATTTGGACAAGCCATCTTCATGTTGGAATAAGGTGCTGTGGACTGATGAAACTAAAATAGTTATTTGGGCAGAACAAGGGTCGTTCTGCTTGGAGGAAAAAGAACACAGCACTCCAAGAAAAACACCTGCTACCTACAGTAACATGTGGTGGTGGTTCCATCATGCTGTGGGGCTGTGTGACCAGTACAGTCTGGGAATCTTGTTAAATTTGAGGGACGCATGGATTCCAACCAATATCAGCAGATTCTGGAGACCAATGTCCAGGAATCAGTGACAAAGCTGAAGCTGCTGAAGCCGGGGCTGCATCTTCCAACAAGACAACCACCCTAAACGCTGCTCAAAATCTACTGAGGCCTTCATGCAGAGGAACAAGTAGAACGTTCTGGAATGGCCATCTCAGTCCCCARACCTGAATATTATTGAAAATCTGTGGTGTCACTTAAAGAGAGCTGTCCATGCTCAGAAACCATCAAACCTGAATGAACTAGAGATGTTTTATAAAGAAGAATGGTCTAAAATACCTTCAGACACAATCCAGACTCTCATTAGAAGCTGTAGGAAGTGTTTAGAGGCTGTTATTTCTGTGAAAGGAGGAACTAGTAAATATTGAGTTAAGTTTTTTTTATGGTGCCCAAATTTATGCACCTGCCTAATTCTGTTTAACCAATTATTGCACACTTTCTGTAAATCATATAAACTTCATTTCACTTCTCAAATATCACTGTGTTTGTCCCCTATATGATATATTTAACTGATATTTTTAATCCAAACAATCAATGATTTATAAAGGTAAATCAGGAAAATTAACAAGGTTGCCCAAACTTTTTCATAAGACTGTAAGTGTACCAACAAATTCATCTTATCTTACTTTTACTGTTTAAGAGAGTGCACTTGATGATGTCTCAGCTCTGCCAAGTCTGAGTTTGTTTCAGTCCAGGACTATGATCAGTAAATAGTTTTAAATGCGAAGAAAGTTCGAAAGGAAATAAAACCTCAAACAGGACGTAGCCAAATCCTTTGCCTAGTCCAGAGTTCTTGTCTCGCACCAATCGCACTGCCTCCACAGTTCCACACTCTTCAAAATGCTGTCGGAACACAGACTCTTTGATCTCTGCAAAGACACGACAGCTGAGCGTCGGATTTCCTGCACACAAAGATCCATGAGCTTCACACAAMAACTCACCAAACGGCAGATTCCCCACAAACACAGAACGCTTGTTGTCATGCTGCAAAACAACGAGAGGACATTAGAACCAAGGCCAACAGTTTCTGAGGCCAGATTGGACTCTGGTGTTCAGCAGCCTTACTGATGAGCTTTCAGTCACTCTGTCCACCCTGATGTGGAAGTCTTTCTCCACCTCCAAGCCATTGCTGTGAAGACAAATGGAATGAAGACTCTGGACAACTTTTAGGAGACAGAATTTTTAGGATAAAAATGGGGACATAAACTGGCAGCTTGATACAGAAGCTCCATAGTGTGTTGTTTTATTTCGTATAAGCTTTGCCCTCTAAGGCTATCGCTAATGGTATCCCTCCGCTCGCGGAGGGATACCATTAGCGATAGCCTTASAGGGCAGAGCTTACACTCCTAGAAGCTTGGGTTACAATACGTAACCATCGTTTTTTTATTCACTGCTCCTTTATTCTTCATTTCATCACATCAATCTAAAGCAAATCCACTTACTTCTGATAGTTTTTTTTTAAACCCTTTTCAGTGGTTGGAAATAGGATCTATGGTGTGGTGCTGGGTTTGCATACACACARCCCCACAAATACCAGCAGATACCAAAGGTAAAGAACCAAATCAAAGTTAATGTGAGGAAATGGATGTCTTGAAGCCTGGTTTTAGCCCTCATCACTGGGAGCGTAAAGTTCCTGGTCAGCAAGTTAGACATGATGTGGTTCCTTATGAGGACTCAGTGGTAGATGGTCGGGTTACAGACCAGTCAGTAGTTTATTTTATGTAGCAGTTTCAAAAATTAATGTCTAACTTTTAGATTACAAATATGTCTAAGCTAAAATACAAAGATCCATCATATATTAAACATCTTATTGTTCCATACTTTCCTAACAGAGCACTTCACTCTCAGACTGCAGGTTTACTTGTGGTTCCTGGAGTTTCTAAAAGTAGAATGGGAGGCAGAGCTTTCAGTTATCAAGCTCCTCTCTTGTGGAACCAACTTCCAGTTTCTGTCCGTGAGGCTGACACTCTGTCTACTTTTAAGATTAGACTGAACACTTTCCTTTTTGATACAGTCCTGATCAAAATTTAAAGATTAGTTGAAAAATGGCATGAATTCACATTTTGCACTGTTGGATCTTAGGAATGTTAATAGTAGAGCTTCAGAATATAAAAAGAAGAAATGGGAGTAAGACAAAAACATTTGAGTCAGCCTTTTATTGCAAGCAACCATTAAGCTKAAACAGGCTGTTCATCAGATGATCAAAGGTTTAAGACCACAGCATTAAAAGCCCAAATCTTCGCAAAAATGTGGATTCCACATTTATTTTCTGTCAGGTATCCACAGCGTCTTGACCTCCTGATGGCAAAGGCAAAACTATTTTCTCTCTTTGAACGTGGTCTGACTGTTAAGCTGCATAAGGTCTCTCACAGCGTGTCGTCGCTGCTGAGACTGGATGCAGTGACACAGTCATCTCAAACTTCTTAAAGGGATCCCCGATTAGTTGTAACATTAGACTTTATTTGATAAACATTTATTT